GTAGAAATAATCATATCGATTTTAGACTCTCCGTGTGTTCCACCAAGTGCTAATGCCCATGAGCTATTTCGAGGATTCAGTTTTGTGGCGCCTTGTTTAATTGGTGAGGAGGACGTATTAAATCTCCAACAATCATCAACAATACCGATTAAAGCAACTGAACCTTATTCAAAGGTAAAATAAAAACTAAATAACATCTTAATATAATTCAAGAAAATTTTCTAAATGTTTATATTTTTCAAGAAAATGAAAGTTATAACTTATTATGTTTATTGTTTATATTTTATTTTTTTATCAATCGTAGTTACCTTATGCTAAAAGAAATGCTGCTGATGAATATGAATTCAAACATGAAATTGGCCGTGGTAGTTATTCTTCATGCAAATTATGTGTTCATAAAACTACTCGTATTGAGTATGCAGTTAAGGTGGGGATATTCATTAATATAATATTCATGTTTATTGTTTAATTAATAAATAATTGATGTTATTTTTGTTTTTAGATAATTGATAAATCAAAAAAAGACTGTCAAGAAGAAGTTGAAATTCTTCTACGCTATGGACATCACAATAATATTGTTACATTAAGAGACGTTAGTATTTTTAAACATCTAATAATACATTTATACAACATACTTTTTTAACTTTTGAAAATAAAATATTTAATTGTGACAATTTATTCTAATTGCAAAAATTATCCTACACCTGAGTCAACAAATTGATTAGTTGTTAAAATTTTAGATTTATAATATATTATTAAAATTAAAAATACTGTATTGAAATGTTATTCAAACATATTCATCTGTTTATTTATCATTAATTTTGTTAACAGGTTTATGAAGATGATAAGTTTGTGTATTTAGTTATGGAGTATATGAGAGGTGGAGAGTTACTTGATAGACTTCATAAATTGAAATACTTTTCAGAAAGAGAAGCTAGTGCCATAATGCAAGTTGTAACTTCAACTTTATGTTATTTACATAAAAGTGGAGTAAGTTATTATTTAATGATTAATGAAATAATACTTAAAAGAGAGAGAAACTATACAATATTTTGTTCATTCTTTCAATAACTTAACAATTAATTGGTAGTATGTATTTGGTTTTAATTTCAGGTTGTGCATAGAGATCTAAAACCATCAAACATTCTTTATGCTACTGAAAGTGCATCGCCCGAGGCTTTGAGAATATGTGATTTTGGTTTTGCCAAACAACTGCGTGCAGATAATGGACTTTTGATGACTCCTTGTTATACTGCAAACTTTGTAGCTCCTGAAGTTTTGAAAAGACAAGGTTATGATGCTGCTTGTGATATTTGGTCATTGGGTGTACTTTTATTTACATTACTAGCTGGGTGAGTATAGCCCAAACTTTAACAGTGAACATCACAAATTGACTTATGTTCTATGCAGACATACTCCATTTGCTAATGGACCTGAAGATACACCAACTGAAATACTAAATCGCATTGGCAACAGTAATCTAGATTTAAAGTCTGGCAACTGGGTAGTAGTGTCTGCTGAAGCTAAGGTACTATTTTTGTGTTTTTTTAGTAGTTTTGTATGTATTATTAAATCCGGTGTTTCCGAGTTGCGTGCGCAGTATTTTTGCAACTGAGCCGAATTGCGTGTGCCGCCTCACACCATTTTATATTTATTTATTTATATTTATATCAAATATATTTTTATTATATTAATATATGGACTCATTCAAATTGTTTAAAAAATAAATAAATACATTTTTAATTTCAAAATTTAATAATTTAATAATAAAATAATTATATACTAATATACAACTAAATTTTATTTTTTAGAGCTTATGGGGGAGAGGGGATCAAAAATATAGTATTAATTCAATAAATAACAGTTAAAAATAAAGTTAGGATCGACAATTAAATCCTTAAGTTCAAAAATCACAATAAAAAAAAAACAGATTTAAAAATTAATCAAAAATTGTTAATGCAATGCCAAAAATAAACAAGTCAAAATATTGAATTCAATTAAAAATAAAAAAATAAAACTTTTCTATTAACTCCAAATATTCCAAACGGGTTATAATTTTATCCTCATACAATTAAAATGTTTAAAAAATCACAATTTAAAAAAATAAATAGTTAAAAAAAATAAATCAAAAATTGTTAATGCAATGCCGAAAATAGACAGGTCAAAAATATAGAATTCAATTTAAAAAAAAAAAATTAAACTGGTAAGTTTTTGTAAGCTAACTTTTCTATAAACTCCAAACAGGTTATAATTTTATCTTCATACTGTCGCATAATTTCTCTAATATAATCTTCTTTTTCCACAGCTTTACGTCGTATTTGAGTTTGATTTGTAATTTTAAAAACCGGTCGTCTACTCAAACTTTAACGCGCGCAATTTGGACCTGCCCAAAAATAAAACCGCGCAAGCAACTCCACCCTGTCAATTAAAAACTGCGCACGCAATTCGGTTGTTGACCGAAACTGCTCAATTTTTTGACACTCAATTCAAATGCAGCCATTAAATCAAATGATAAATTTATGTTTCAGGATTTGGTAAAAAAGTTGTTACACATAGATCCTCATCAAAGGCCAACAGCTTGTCAGGTTTTACTAAGTCCGTGGATAATGAACCGAGACAAATTACCAACGCATCAGATACAATTGCAAGAATCGTACAAGATTAAGGTTATTCAAATTATAGCACATGTTTTTTAAAAAGCGTTTATTAAAATGTTTTCTATTTTGGTTTCAGGGGGCGATGGAAGCAACTTATCGAGCAGTTAGTCAGTCACCACCAACCCCTAATTTAGGACCAGTAGTTTTAAGTCAGCTGGCTCAAAGGCGACACAAGTCACGTACTAAATGATACCTTATAACTACTTATTAGACATAACACTATATATTCCTTTTTATTCTATTTCTATAACTTCTATATTTATCTTATTGTATACATTTGATATCATATTTCAATTTTAAATTTAGCATCTTTTAATGTATTTTAATATTTTTTAAAATATCTTTTCGACCTTATAATATATAAATTTATTATTCTATTAATTCTCAAAGTTTAGAGAAAACTCGTTTGTTTACCGCGGCACAAAAGGTATGTAAGCAACATGATAACATTGACAATATAAATGTAATGGACTTCAATTATTATATTATGTATATATACTGTTAGTGACAAAAGCCAGATGAGCATCAATTATCAAGTCTGACGTTATGATGTTCATAACATAATTTTTTTTACAATTGGTTTATTCACATGCGCTTATAATAAACAGTATTAAACATTCCTAGTAAGTTTGTTGTTATGTTTATTAATTACATTTACAAAGTATACAGGAATGTAATTATATTTTTTATGTTTAAAAATATACAAATTTGTTGAAAGTATTAAAATTTATTGTTTACACAGATTCTCTTATATTGCAATATTTTACTGGCTTATAACAGTGTATGTGGCTGCCAACGGTTAATATTATGCAATAAGAAAATGTCATTGGTACATTTCATAGTTTAGTCAATTTGTATTAATTAGTTATTAGTTTAGGTAATTGAATAAAATTACTACATATTTATATTTTAATTAAAAATGTATTTGTATTAATATTTTGAAAATCTGTATTATCAAATAAATTTTCTGGTAATTCAGATTTAAAAAATATATTATGTATTTGATATGGTACATTCGTTTTCTCAAACAATTTGTAGTTATTATTCCTGGAAACTTAAACTAACAAGTGTTCCAACCATTTGTAATTAAGGTTTTTGTTGTCCAAACCATTCCTTTATTCTGAATAATTTTAGATTTATATAGCGAAGCGATAAATGTATTTGTCTACAATATTATTTTGTTAAAACGTTATTCAAGATTTTCAAGAAGAAAAATTCGATACGTATCGATACGGAATAGTTACGTACCACTTCGTATCGGAGTCCGAGGCCGATACGGGTCGGTACGTATCGCTTGTACATTGCACGTGTAACATCTTGAACGCCCAAAATTGACCCGATACGTACCGATACACTCCAAATTCTTTCTTGAAAATCTTGATTGTGTGATCACTAATCACTCTTTGGAACAGTAAAACTGCTTGAATGTTAAACTTGTATATAATAATATAATATATGATTGGAAAATGATTTTAGTTTAGGTAAGGGGAGTTGAAAGTAAAATATTCCCGGAACATTTATAAATAATTGGGAAAAATTAAAAAAAAAAATTATTTTGTTGTGATTTAAAAACAAATAGCCATAGATACTTGAAATTTTCATATTAGAATTTTCTTTACATGGTTTAAATTGAATAACCTGAATATTTTTGAGCTATTTGACGTTTAAGGCATTTGAAAAGATACCTATTGGCTATTTCTGTCCATGGTTCTAACAATGCGTAATACAGGCAGAATAGATGATTTAAATACCTTGTACCAGGGATTCTCAAACTCTTTTAAACACGTTACCCCTTTTTATCAATACATTTTTTTGAGTACACCTTTCTTAGTTACTAAACTAAAATATATATAAAAAAATATAGACTTAAAGAAATTTTTCCTTGTAAGTTTGTTGGCCAGACTCGTACTCCTTAAAATATTTCGAGTACCCCGAGGGGTACGCGCACCACAGTTTGAGAATACCTGCCGGCTGCCTTATACTATTAGACAACTATAAGTCTAAACTAGACAAGCTCTGAGTGATGGAAAGCGTAACAACAAGAGGCCGCTTTTTGACTACCTACTATAGTAGTATAGTCTACTACTCTACGTGTGGTAATGCGGGGTAGCCGGGTAAGATATTTAGATTTATATTTAAGAAATATCATAGAACATTAAATTAATGTTATTTATGGATATATCGACGTTCATCTTAATCGTCATTCTTTGCACAGCCGTGGTTCTATGATAAAACAACGTTGTCCAGTGTTACCATTTTTCTGTGTCGGCTTTTATTTATCAGATACTCATCTATTTATAGATTCGCCCTCACTAATTGAATGAATATAAATGTTGGTGCCTTGGTGGCAGACGGCAGTCCGAAAAATAATAGGTACTATCTTCAATTGTGATGCCAACTGCTTGGCACTGAAGGGTGAGTGACGAGTGTTCAGCTCGAGCCCGTCAAAATAATGGATAATAGATATGATTTTGAGTTTATAACGGTCTCTCACTCATTTGTCGTGTAACTTTTTTCGTAATATCACGAATTTAGCATCTCAGTAAATTAGTTCATGAACAAAACCGAAGTAAGTACAAACCGATTACATACATTGTTCGTTTTGAACATCTTTTACAAATTAAGTTATGATATTAAAATATCTGTTTTTTTATCTAGTTAGTGGTTACTAGTTTACTACTTAGTGTTCGCAGTCAACCCAGAAACAATTCGTATGAACTTAGATAGGTTTGGTAACCATAATTTTCCAAGCATTTTTTTTGCATATTTTTAAAATGTTTAAAAGTGCATAACACATTCACTTATTTTACAGTATGTATGTACAATAATCCCTTGACCTATCGATTATCAATACTTCTTCTAAATGTCTTAATGTACAATTTAATTCTCCCTGGTGTTTACTTATTAGATTACCAGTACAATAGTAAATTAGTATGAATGTATGATTATAAAAGTATATGACTATTAGTTTTGGGTAAGTTACTTTTTAAAAGTAACAAAGGTACAGTACAAGTTACAAAATAAAGTAGGTAACTAGATTACTTTTTTGTTACTCAAGTACAAAAGTAATGTGTAAAGTTAGGTTTTTTACTCAAAAGTCACTAATTACAATGACGTTACTGTTGTTACTCTTATGTTAAATGAATGATAATATAATTATGAATTGTTGACAAAAGCTCCGGCCTATCAATAGTTATTAGCCGTATACGATTGTCTGTCAGTATGTTGATGAATATTTTTTATCAGGTCATTTAAAAATGAATAAGCTAATAAACTATAAGAGTTGCTGCCTGTACAGGCTTTGTAATCAATGTTTATAATCAGTTAAATTGAAAATGATATTTGCACAAAATTGTTTATTTATATAATTATATTAGATTATACTGGAAAAATGTTGTAATTACATAAATACCTACTTAAGTTATTAGTATAATAACATTTTCTGATGAGGATTCGAGGGGAAGGACTGCTCCGTGAGGTAGCACCACGATATATCCCCCTCTCAAAAAAAAAGAAGTTAAATTATAATGTAACCTGTTCTTCTGCTAAGTTACTTCTAAATAATTAATGTAGTTACTCTTGTGTTACCCAAAAATAATAATAACAAAGTTACCTTAACGTTGCTGGAAAATGTAACTTCATTACAGTAACGAGTAACCCTCGTTAAGTTACTATCCAACACTGATAACTATGTATGTATAACAACATTTATTTACAATGTATAAACAATTCCAACTATATTCGTTGATATGTATTAAAATAGAATGAAGAGAGTTGTGAGTCAACCACATAAAATTCAAAAAAAGTATGGAGTAGAAGATGTTGTGAAAGATCCTATTCAAGTTTATTGTCGAATTCGTCCTGTTCAGTCCAATTTAGAATCTTCATGTATAAAAGTTGTATCAGACACTGAAATACAAATATACTGCGCTCCAGATGATAGAGGAATATCTAGAGAAGGACAATTCAATTACAAGAAAATATTTACTGAACATGAGTCCCAAGAAGTCGTCTTTCAAGATATGGCATTGCCACTCATTGAGCAACTTTTGACAGGAAAGAGTAGTTTAATATTTGCATATGGAATATCAGGTAGTGGCAAATCTTATACAATGACTGGTAACCAGGAAGATGGTGGTATTGTTGGAAGATGCTTTGATGTCATATTCAATTCTATTCAAAATTACCAAGCTAGAAGATTTACTTTTAAACCCGATAAACTTAATGGATTTGATGTATATAGTATGGAAGACTTTTTGTTTTATTCTTCTGATGAATTCAAAAACAATGTTAAAAACCCTATAAAAACAACAAAAAAGTAAGATTTATTAAATTAGTTTCATATCTTGAAAAATATTTAATATATATAACAATTTAAATATTATTTCTAGAAGAGATGGAGATGCAGATCGTTTACCATTTAATTATAAAGTTATAGATATAGAACAAGATGTAGCATATTCAGTATTTATAAGCTATGTAGAAATATATCATAATTATGTTTATGATCTTTTAGAAGATGTATCTGAAGGAGAAATAAGACGGTAAGTAATAATATATTTTATATCTATTATTAATTTTAATTTATTTGGCTATTTAATAGAAACAGTAAAATAATAAGAGAAGATGCTAATGGAAATATGTATGTGCATGGAGTAAATGAACAAGAAGTAAATAATGCAGTTGAAGCTTTTGAATGGTTAAGAAAAGGACAATTAAGAAAGCGTACTGCGCCAACCTTTTTGAACATGGACTCCAGTCGCAGTCATACAGTTTTTACTATTAGAGTTGTACAAGTGAGTTATTTAAATATATATATATATGTATATATATTAAAAGTAGATTTTGTTAAATGTAAATTCAGAATATCAAGTTTTTGTACCTTTGTAGTGTATAAAAAATACTACTGTGTTTCTATAAATATTATGTATGATATATTTACGTGTAAATCAATATTCATTTATAATTTAAACTATGAATTTATTTTAATAGGCACCTTTAGATACTGATGGTGTAAGTATTATTCAAGATAAGAAGTATACAGTTGTAAGTCAACTGTCTCTAGTTGATTTAGCTGGAAGCGAACGAGCTGGGAAAGCAAAGACAACTGGACAAAGACTTCAAGAAGCTGGTAAGAATTTTTTATTATTTTATGTTATACATAATTTTGACTTTACATTTTTATAGGAGAAATAAATAAGTCACTATCAAATTTAAAACAATGTCTTAAAATATTATATGAAAATCAGTCTTCTAGCAATTTAAGGAATATTGCTGAGAAAATCCCATACAGAACATCTCGTCTTACACATCTGTTCAAAAGTTTCTTTGAAGGTTCTGGTTCAATCAGAATGTTGATTTGTGTTAACCCTATATCTGAATATACAGAGCTTTTGGTAAATAAAAAACAAATTAATTGTATTTAATATTCCAGTCAACTCGCTTAATATGCTTTCCTGCCTAAGACACCGTTTTCCGTCGGTCCCTAGACATTTCCTATACTAGTCAATGTAAAAACCACCCTTGAAGATGCTTTGTTTTTCTCTATCTAATCGGATAAGACATTCTTTTGTTCAGCATATTATGATAAATTTCAGTAATTATGTGTTAGTAATAATATGAATGTTACCCATTTACATGATATAATCGAGTATTGATTCAATATTGACTCCTACAATTACTGCTGGTTTGCATCATCTATCAGAAATACGAAAAGTGCTTTATTCTGTAGAAAATGCTGAAAGAATGTTGGGTTATGCTAACAAAATAGAAAAATGTCTGAAACGTATTCTCTGAATCTCAATCAAACAAATAAGATACTTTTATTAATAGGTAATAATTAAAATATGTATGTATGAATCTTTTTCTTTTTAAAGTAAATTCAATAAAAAAAATAACTTTTATTGATTTATAAATGTATTACTTGTTAAATTATGTTCAATAATAAAAAAGTGGGGAAGTGGATGTCGCTCTGCTGTACATTAGGTGTCTACAAGGTCGCTGTATTGGATGGTGTTCAATTTGAAAATGATATAATATCATTGTATATGAAAAACAATTCATAGCAGAGACGGTATGTCAGTCTAGGATATTTCGTATTATTATGACCTACTATTAATAAAGTAGCCAGTAAATTGAATTAATATTATTCTTATTATCAGTGATGCTGGAAAAATATTAAACATACTTTGTAAAATTTGGATGTTTTGGAACCAAATTACAACAAAAAGACAAAAATCGTTATTCTTTGTGTTAATATGTAATTTTGTTAAATTTGAATTTAAAATGTCTAAAAAATAACTATTTTTATATATTTTTTAGATTTTTTAGTTATGGAAAAAACTACTTAAATGGAACTTTATTTTAAATTTTCAATCCTTAGCTATAAAAATTGAATATTTTATAGATTTTCAACTACCAAATTATTTTTCAATTTTCAACTTGATTATTGTTGTCAACATTTGAACTTTAAATGCTTATGTATTTTTAATATTTTTCAATTGGTATTGAAACAATTTGTCAAGAGTCTTGTATTCAATTTTAATGCTTTTTGACTCAATCAATACAATTTTATTGACAATTATAGAAAAAAAAAACAAAAAATAATGAAAATTGAAAATGTCCGCCAACAGCTTAAACCAAGTCAAAATATTTTGAATATTTTATCAAATGTATGAATTGATAAAATAAATATAGGGTGTATTCAAGTGTCTACAGTTATTCGTTTTTTGAATTACAACAAAATAAGAAAATCACTATTTGAGAAATCAAGCATATATCCAATGTTGTAAAAATTTGAACTTCAAACGCTCATAAGAATTTAATTTGGCTTTCCGGTAGAATATGATAACAAAGGTAGACAATCTTATAAAGAATCTTGTATCTCAGGTATAAAAAGAAAATTTTTTTAAGTATTTCTAACTCAAAATAATTTACTAATTTTCATAATTTTACGAATTTTGTCAAAAGTCTGAATTCAAACTCTAAAAATTATTGTTTATTTACGCTCAACTTTTTTTAAAATTACCACTAACAACAACTTACAAGGAATCTTACTTTACATGGTCAGGTTTTTTAACCAAGCTAAACAATTTTTATTGGCACTAGTTTAAAAAAACAAATAATAATTGAAAATTTCATATGCCTATAAATAGTTCAACATGTGTCAATAATCTGATATAATAAATTTGATATTTTCATCATTTCCGTGGTTTTTTTCCATTCCCGCATAAAATGCTCTAGATATCTGGTCCCTTAAAGAGTGTCTTAAGCGAGTCTTACTGTATAATTTAATAATTTTGGTATCAACATGCAGCCTGTACTGCAATTTGGGGAAATATCTGGAAGTATTCAAGTTAAACGAACGACCCCATTACGTATGGATATTGGTTTGACTCCAGGACGAAGAAGAGTCATTGATGTATGTAATAATACTTAACATTAATTCTAAGATATCTGTTCCTAATATAAGGCCAATTGTAGAGTCAATCTGTAAATCGCATTCAGTGTGTAATTGAGGAAGGCACTAGATTTCCACAAGACAGTATAATTAACTATGAAACAAAAGAAAACTGTTTTAGAAGGTAATTTCAATTAATTGAGTGTATACAAAAAATTATTGTTATGTATTTTTTGCAGCTCTTTAAATTTGGGACCTCTGTTGCCAGATTTAGAAGTAGATGATTTACTAGATGATGAGAAGAGACAACAGCTTATTACTGCTCTTGATCAGAGAATAAAAATAAAGGAAGAACTTCGTGAAATATTAATTACAAACAGTATGATAAAAGTTATTTAGAATATATCTATTATTTTTAGTTATTTGTTTTTAATTTTTAAAAAAATTATAATTATTTACAATGACAAAAAAAATAAGATTAGGTAACTATTTTTTTTTTTGCAGATAATGACATACGGTCAAAAATTGTGTTGCTGGAAAGCAATTATGCAGAAGGAAAAACAGAAATAAAATCATTGCAAACTCTGAGAGATGAAGATATCAAAATTGTATTAATAACCAAACTTTTTTTTAGCCCTGATGATTAATACTAATAATATGTATAATATTTTATGTAGATTAAGCAATATCAAAACAAATCATTTTTACTAGAAAATGAAATGGCATCATTAAAAAGAAAATTAGAATTTATGGATTGTGAAAACAAAAGATTAAAATCAGATGTAAGTTCAAAATAATACTGGAATAAAACTATAAATTTACCTAACCTGTTGACTGTAAGGCCTTGTTTTACATGCCTTCTACCTAAAAAAATCCCATTTAATATTTATACACTATATCCATTATCCTAGATTAAGAACAAATTTGCATCAGCAATGTATTATAAACCAATAAAGATTTATAAAGTCAACATTTTGTTAATTCTTAAATATTATTACTGTTAATTTATTTTCATTTTTAATTTCTAGTTATATGAAAAAGACAATATGCTTAACATAATGGAAGTAGATAAAGATTTGCTAAAACAAAAATATAATACTAAAATTGTTAAAAACCAAGAACAATTATCAAGAGATTTTAAAAACAAATGGAAAGAGCAAGAAAATGAGTTTGAAGTTGGTATTATGTACCTATAGTATTTTTATTATTATTTAAACATTAATATCTACAATTTAACTAATAAGTTTGAAAAGATATTTATTGTTTAATTTTTAAATATGTAAATAATAAATCATCTTTCAGTTTCTAAAGTGTTCAAAAAACATGCTTGTGCGAAATGTGTATGAACTAATTAATAATTATGAGTATCAAATTTCCCACCTCTAATTGTGGTTATTAAGACATTAATTACAACTTCTGAAAATAGATTTTTTTGAAATTTGATTCACAATTTGCACTTCAATCTAAAAAAATAAGCCTACCATTTACATGATAGCTGATAGGTGTAAAAAATTTTCCCATGAGGCAAGTTTTTGTACTAAAATCGGTTTGGTTCCTATTCCCCTAACTACAATAAAATCTCACTCTTAAAATTATTCTCAAAAGTATTAATTTATTTTATTTCTATATTTGATTCTCAGGCAAAATTACAAGATAAGAATTACAAATTAAGACACATCAGAAATATAGTGGAAAGCACAGAAAACATTTCTAGCCATTGTTCCAGGCGTATTGTAAAAAAAACCTTGTCTGATGAAAGTTTAAACAAAATACAGCCAGCCTTGAGTAATGATAATAAACCCTCAGATTCAAACCAAAATGAGGTAACTAAACTATTTGAAATAAATGTTTAAATTTGACCGCTTATTACATTATAATTATTTAACATTTAGCCATCACAACCAACACTAAGATATTTACATTCAAGAAGATCTAAATCATGTGACCCACATGAATGTTGGATCGAACACAAACCCCCAGTGCCTGTTCCTTTGCAAACTATCATGCAACCCATGTTGAAGAAGTCCAAATCAGTTATCAAGTTGACAGATGCCAAAACAATATCAGATAATGGTGCATCAAAATATTGTTTATTGACACAAGGATCAGATGAACAAGGCATTTCGGAAGCTAAACTATATAAAGTACTTTTTATCTATTTGTTAGTTAAATAAACAGTTGTCAATAAAACTAATATTAATTGTTTTTTAATTTATTAGGCCGACATCATCCAAACCCTGGGAGGAGGTGCCCAAGTTATATTTAATGACATAGAAACATTAAAACAAGGTTCATCATTTGGTGGATTTTCGGTGGAAACCCATATTGAGCCATATAATAATGAAACAAAGGCTGATAGAGGTAGTCCTGATGATGGACCAGCAAAATGTTAAGGAATACAGGTGGGATTTACTCCTACAAAAAAATAATATAAAATAAATTATTGTTCATTACAATGAATAGTATACCAAATTTATAGAAGACTGGCAACGCATGTGATATCAATTATACATATTTTTTTCATACATATATATAAACATAGATTGTACATAACATTACTTTAAGAACTTTGCTATTGTGCACAACTTAATATTTGTAAATAGTACAGAACATTAGAGCAATTGATTGCTGCAGTAAGGAATCGATTCCATACAAAATAGCATCTCAATAATAGTTTCAGTTCTACGTCAATGTTAATACAATTTGCTTTTCATTCACGATAAAATCAATTCTTTTGTTATAATTTTTTGGCATTATTTAATTATTGTTTGTAACCCAGTTTTCATTGCAGAAATGTTATGACAAAATAAAAAATATTTTTGTAATATATCTTAGTATATTTTGTCTTAAACGAGTATTTCACAACCTCATTAATATTGTTTTTTTATTGAATTTTTTCCAAGTAACTTCATGTTAACATAAGAAATTTATTTTTTAACTTTTAAAATCAATAACTTAACATCACATCTAGGGAGTGGTAGAATAGGAATAGATAGGAATATAATGTATATTTTATCTTATTTCCTGTGTGTTACAATTGGGGTTGATGTACCATTCAATTTTCATACACTTTTGGAATGTTTGTGGCCATTCCATTAGAACTGCATGCCCAAATCTTAAACACAATTTTTTGTTCATGTATTTAAAAATTTTGACTTGAGTTTAAAAAAAAACTAATAATTGAAAATGTCATATTCCTATAAATAGTTTAACACAAATCAAAAAAATTTGAAAATGTTATGGAGTGTCTAGAAAGTGCTTACACAAATATTCAGTGAAAATTTCATGAATGTACAGTAATTTTTGTTAAAGGTACACTACTTCTTCAGACCTAGTGTGCTCAAAACAAGACAATGTTATATTGTACCAAATGCCTGATACCAACTTTTAGAAAACCATACTAGATAACTGATGTCCCAATTTGTACACAATTGATTTTATGAGTGAATTATCATTTTATTATATAAGAAGATGATATATCATTGCTGTAACAGCTAAATCTTATTTTTATCATGTTTATGCAACTATCTAGTGTATATTTATTTTTTTATAATAATCATGAACCCAATGAAATACCAAAATAAACTTCGAACATTTTTTCTAAAATTAGAATACTTTTAACATTAAATATTACAATGTAAACAAAACCAATGTTATTCCAAATTAAACTAGAGATCTCAAACAAATATTACAAATCGTTATCGATAAGATAATATTTTTTTTTATTTATTAAATGTACACTAGAATAATGTACTCAAAGTAGGACATTCGGTTAATAACCATCACGATTACAATTACATATTGACGATCAACTCGGTCCACGCGTGTTGTATTTTTTTGTTATTTCTAATCGTAATTATCTTTTTTATTTTAAAATAATAACTAAAACTAAAAACTTAAAATTTATTTTAATTAACTTAATTAAAAAGTATAATAATTTATTTTGAATTATTATTTAACTGTATGTAAACCTAATATCCTTTTTTGAGGACAATGTTTTAAGTTCAGAAAACCATTGATAATTGTAATCAAATCGTATACAAATAGTATTTTTCTTATCCAATATATGTGTAGGTACAATAAAATGTAATAAGATTAGTAACACTGAATAAATTGTTGAAAATTTTTCAGGTGGTTCGTCAATTTTATTGCATGTCCTATTTTGTACACATTAGTTATCTGCCATGATTTTTAAATATTCCCATCGGTCTGAAGAGGATACCAAAATCGATTTTTTCGAAAAATGGATTTGTGTAAAAATTCCTGTTTTTTTTCCTATTGCATCTGTAAACAATTGAGAATTCCAAAAATTTTGATCTCCCGAATGCACCAACTAGATTCACTTTTCGACCACATAAGTTGCTGTTGAAGAAAATCGAAGCACTTTAACTGCAAGAAACAGTGATGAGAGACAAAAAAAAATAAATATAAAAACACACATCATTGTAAAATCAATATATTCATCGCTCCGCTCAGAATCTAAAATCCCCATATTAGGAAGAAAAGTATAATTGCTACTGGGGATTAGCGAATAACGGGTACGTTCAATTTAATTACATATAAATTATGTATATGAACTATTCTTTAAGTTATATGTTTGAAATAAAATTATTGTTGTGTATGTTCAAAATTGTTATTTTATATAAATAGTCTTCTACCTTAAAAAGTAAAAATATAATATTAATAAAAATATATAAGTTAAAATTAAAATGTAATGTGATTATAATATAACCTTGTCATTCTATAGCGCTTTTTAGCTGATGTTCTGACCGATTGCTTTTAGGAAGTCTTCGACATATATTTCATTATTATTTTGGATTCTCAAACATTGTGCTTTTAATCTTCTTTCTACAGAGGTTATCTCCTCCCCTCCCTCCACACTATTAGTACAACACTTTTAAACATTTTTACCGTACGAATTTTGGGCCAGTGGATAATATTAAGTAAAAGGGCCTCTGAGAAGGAAAAATCTTGATGGGCTGTTACATACCAATCCAGCCTTATAATACGTTTGTTTAATTTTATATTATCATTTAAAAGAAACCTTTCTTTCCCGTGTAAGCTCTATTTACCTACAAAATGTATAAAACAGTATAACAATATAGTTTTACTATGTATAATAAATAATAATTTACGTAATGACAAAAAGTGAATAAATTAACTAATAAAGTAATAACTAATAATACTTCATGAATTACAATAAATTTTTAGTTAAAAACTGTTATTTTTTTACGTTTTGCTTATAACAATCAAAAGATTTTTTTACAAATTTTATAAACTAATAATTTTAACAAATCTACAAAATCTAAGTTCTTAATTATTTTCATAATTTCAAGTCTAAAAAAAAATATTAATAATATTGATCGGTTTATGTATACCATATGAAATATTGTACACTAGAGAATGTGTTAAGTTAAGACTGCATTAAATAAACCGTTACATATGAAAAATTACACTTACCTTTTATAGAAATAGGGTTTATTGTTTTTTGCTTAGCCGGGTCATTATGCCCTCGACTATTTCGAATCATCTGTTTCAAATAATACGCAGTACATTAAACGCCACTGTAAATAAGATACCGGACAAAAGAAGTGGTGGTAGACAACATATTGCATCACAGCCGATATTATTAGTTGGCAAGGTATAAAGATGACAGAAGAAGGACATTTATAGCCATTAGAAACCTTCCCTCACCACAGTAAAACAACTGCGAAGTTTTTTAGGTTTAGCAAATTATTTTCGTAGATTTATTCCAAATTTTAGTAAATTGCAACACACCTTGTTTCTTTCAATATCGAGTGGCTGTCAATAGGTAATTAAATTGTATAATGTATATGTATCTAATACTACCCAGTTAAGGGGTAGTTGCTTAGAAATTCCCCCTACAGGAATAAGGTTGTTGAGCCGATATCAGTATATGCAAATTTCTAAGATACGATTTAATGATCCTTAGATGATACATCGACGTATACGAAGACTTATTAAATGTTTGAAATAGTAATAAAATTATACAGTACAGTATCGCTCGAGTAACTCTGTTCTTGAGAGTAGTTCTTGTTGATAATAGGATAGTAGCGGTGTACGAGTCAGAGCAATTGAATTATTATTATGTAATATTTGTTTATAATATAGGTCGTTATACCTTTCAGATTGATTAGAAAATCAGAATTTTAATAAATGAAATTTATTTATCATAATTTATATATAGCCATATAGGTAACGTAGGTTATTTATACCCATAGTAAATCAATTTAATTCGAAAACCAGAATTTTAATAAATGCATATTGCATATTTCAAGGTAGGTACACTGAAATTAACGCTAAATTGCAATTTCCAAAATTTCATATGTAAGTATGTACGATGACTACGATGTGCCCACTGCGCACCTTTACTATAACATTGACCTCTCACCAGTTACTACTGCCTAATCTACATATTATACATGTTATAGCCTATGCTATAAATACGATGTAACACTACAACAGGACACAGTTTCCATTACATAAAATGTAGTATAAAATTAATAATTTAATATTAAATACTAGCATATCATACGACGATTCGTCGTTTATATAACTTGAATCGGTTTTCAGAGGTTACGAAAAAATATTTTATTTGAAAATGGGGAGAAACATGTTTTTTAAACTTTTAATATTTCGCATTACATTAATCACCTTATTCGTTTTCAACACATCATCACAACAAGTAGTAAAAAATCTTGGTTTGAGAGAAGGTAAGTCGATTTACTTTATACCTAATAATTAATGATAAATGTACAGCATTTGTATATTAGTACAAACCACATATTAAAATAAGTTACTGTCTAATGAGTACCTAATGATAGTAAGTGCAAAAATACACTTAACAGAATTCTTAAAGTTTGTGTGTGGAATATAAACATAAAACATTTTTAAGATTTTGAGCGGAGTGATGTATATTTTTGTTCCTTTATTTTTTATTGTGTCTGAACTCTGAAGACAATTTTTACAGTAAAGACAATGATTCAATCTTCAACTTCGAAGGATGTTTCTTGTAGAATATTTGACTTAGAGTTATTAGTTTTTATTTTAGGAATTAATTGTAAAGAAATCCACCGTACTTTTCAAAATAATGGTTAAATACAAAAATAATAATGGGCTGTAAAGCAAAATTGTTTACGACCAAAATCGATTTTGTACTTATTGTACCTCACTTAAAAATGAATAAATTTAGATACTTGAATTATTTTTATACTTAACCAATTTACATATATAAGATACCTAACCATTTTAATTAAGTTTTTTTCATACATTTTGATTAAAATTTTTTCACTTGAATATAAAAATTGAAAATTGAATACAAGATTACTAGGGTTTTCATCGTAGTAGCTAAAAAATATTATATAAAGGCGTGATATATTTTTTTTTTGTGAGAATTTTAAGTTCAAATATTGACAAAAACTCCAAAATCATGAACATCTGCAAATTATTTTGAAGTTGAAAAATTATAAAATATTTAATTTTTGTTGGTAAAGATCGAAAATATAATACAAGGTTTCTCATACGCAATTCAAACTGTAACCAAAAAATCTAAAAAATATACGAATAGTTATTTTTATAGATATTTGAAGTCGCAATTTGGATGAAATTAGACATTTTAACAAAGAATAAAAATTGTAGTTATTTTGATGTAATTTAAAAATATTATACTTTGGTACTTGAAATTTTGGAAGTACATTATTATATTTTATACACACAATGACATTTTTTTAATAATGTACCTATATTATACTGTAGTGCTAATATGCCTAATGGTAAAATAAATTATTACGTTAATAAAAATAAAATAAGTCTCTAAACAATAAAACTATGAAAAAAAACTAACTGTTTTGCTTGTTTTTTTTTGTATATATACGATCTGTAGGTCACGACACCACTGTTATTTGAGCCTTTTTGGGTTTTCATGAAAAAGTATTGCAGGTGATCTATATTATTTAAATATGAAAACATTTAAAATTTTAAAAGTATGAAACATTCTTTTGATAACCATTACATTATTTTTGATAAAACTCTGACTAAAAACTAAAAATGTTAATTAATGTAACTTAAACTTACATCATACAAATGTATAAAATAAGATGAGAAAACCGTAAAAAAGTACACAGTATTGTAAAATCAATAGTATCACACCACTCAAAATCTAAAACTGGTGTAAAACGTTATTTTAGTTCTAAGAAAATAATAAAAAGATTATGATTTGTATCATACATTTTTAGCTCAATTGTGAAATTTATGTTTCTTTAGGTGAGATATGTCGGAAAGCCCAGGGCCAAGATCCAGAATATGTGTGTAAAAGTACTAGACACTGCAAAGCACATGATGGAAGTATTAGAATTCGTAAACATCTTGATATATGTAAGTTAGTTGGTTCAAAACCGATAGTTTGCTGTCCTGCAGAGACAACCTTTGAAAATTTTTTTGAAATACCAAAACGTAGAACTGGATCATCAATGTCTGCAGATGAAAGTATGAACATTAAACATACATTATTTACCAAACTTATACTATATATTTATAAGTTATATACCTACTACTTGTAATAAGTACCCAAAATCAGTTAGAAGTTATATTGCACAACATTTTTTTTGATTTTTTTCTATGTACCTATCTTTTTTCCATTGCTATGTACTTAATTTATTAATACGGTTTCTGCATCATTACTTATTATTCACTTACTTTCAAAATAATAGAGTATTATAGGATTGATAAACAATACATAGGTACAACAATTTTTTTCATTATTGTGTTTTTTATCACATTTTGTGGCAGACAAAATGCTTCAATCTTTAACTTTTAAGATAGACGAAGGTATCTGGTTTTTGATAACAAATTGGATCTAAATTGTAAGTTATAGTCTACTTGATGGAGTCAAAATGAAAAATGCACAGTACCTACCTAATTTTCAATATAAACAAGAGAAAGGAAAAACAATTTGAAAACTGTAAATTTGACGTCTTTTCCATTTTCTGTTTTCTTGTGGTAAATCAAAAATGGACCTTAAAGACTTGACATTTTCAACGAATATTTATCCAAGAATCATTTTTAATCGCTATGAAGTTTTTTTTTTTATTTAGTTATGTATTATAATTTATAGTTATTATTAATTATACAATATAGTCTAATAAATTCTCATAAAGTGGGGCATAACATTTTTCCTTTTTTTAAGTTTTATGTTCAATTTTTGACAAAATTAGTTAAAATCAGCAAAATGTACATGTTGTTTTGTATAGAATTTAAAATATAGTACAAAGGTTCTTATGAGTAGTTTTCGCCTCGGTAATTTTTATGAAAGCAAAAATATAAAAAATATAAGGACAATTTTTTTTATACAGAAATTTTGGGTTCAAATATCAATTTTTAAACGAAGAATTTAAGATTTTAGTTCTTACCAATTTTGGGTATTAACTGATAAATATAATCTTGCTTATTTAAAATAAAATATGTTATTTAATGAAAAATTTGCAGAATGTTATCAATATTCAAAATCACTGAAATTTGACTATGAACCTGTACGAATAGATGCTGGAATTCATAATCTATTATCGTTTAAAAACAAACAGTGGCTAAAATTGAATCGTACACATCATCAAGTTCAAAGTCGGTTGCTGGGGTCCGCTCCATACGCAGCTGGCGGTATAGATGCTAAACTAAAAGAGTTTCCACACATGGTAATATTATATTGAATCATAAACATGTATACTCGAATACTCGGCGAAGACCTGTAAAGTTTAATAATATTTATTGCTGAAATGTTTAACTATAGGCGCTAATAGGTTATGGTACTACCACAACAAACGCAGATGACTGGAGATGTGGAGGTTCATTGATAAGTGAAAGGTGGATTTTAACTGCAGCACACTGTGAAATGATAGAAGGGTAAATAAGATAATAAAAAGGTCACTGTAATGGATGTGTTCACTTTGAATTCAATGTTATAAAGTCATTGTACACAAATAAACAATTCTGAATGATGCTTAGTTGTTATTAAGTATACTTTTAATATTGTTGTTATTTAAGTAATATTTTATTTTACTGGTATTTATGTTATCTCTATATAATATCTATGTACGTTTAAATATTTTTAAACTGCTGTCGTAACAATATATAATGAATCTTTTATTGCATTTTCAAGCTATATGACAAAACTAAAACAATATTTTTGAAATTTACAGAAATAACATTTTTAAATAAGTATTATTTATAATGTCTATAAATAACCTTAAAACGATGTATAGAAAATGATAAAATTAACATTCGGTGAAAATTTCAAGTATCTACAGTTTTTTGTTTTTGAGTTATACGAAAAAAGAAAATTGATTTTGAGTAAAATTTACCATTTTTGGCCTCTTACTAGACCTCTAACTAGATTCATTCCTTCAAGAAAAGATATTGAAGTTGAAAATCTAAGTATTATTTCAACTACTTTTCGCTTACACACACATACACACACGTCATTGTACAATTATAATTTATAAGATTCATTGCTCTTCCCAGAATCTAAAATTAAATGCTAGTTATTTAACTTAAAATGAATAATGCCTGGCATTTATTATTGAAGCACATTTGTTTTAATTTTAAGGAATTTTGCTCGTTGGGCTCGCCTTGGAGTTTTGCAAAGAGAATTCAAAGAAATCTACAAAAATCGACGTGGAGACTACAAAATAGTGCTTCATGTAATACATCCCGATTATAAATATCCTTCTCGATACAACGATATAGCTCTATTCCGTCTGGAAAGGGACGTCGAACTCTCCGAAGCAGTTCGACCGATTTGTCTCAACTCGTATCCGTCTTTAACGCCATTATTACAGATAGCTACTGGTTGGGGACGAATTTCTACAGGTTAGTTTATAATGTTTGTATGACTTCCCCAAAAAACCAACCTAACCTCGAGCACCTAGTAATATACGAGTAGTAGGTGACGAGCTAACATTTTTTTTCTTTTCGTTACAATTTTTTTAGCTGGACCACTTAGTGACACTCTGTTAAAAGTGAATTTAGAGGTTTTCCCGACGAAACGCTGCAACGAAAGTTATCATAATGATTCAAAATTGAGATATGGAATATTACCCGGCAGCATGATATGTGCGGGATCGTTTGATGGCAGAAGAGACACTTGCTCGGTAAGAATTATTCACCTTTGATTGCTGCAATGTTCTGTACAAAACTAAATGACTAATAAATATCAATATTACTGTAGGGTGATTCGGGAGGTCCACTTCAAGTAGCACATGCTGAATTCGCCGATATGTATACACAATACGGGATTACATCTTTTGGGAAATTGTGTGCTGACAAGAATACGCCTGCAGTTTATACTAGAGTAGCTAAATACATATCTTGGATCGAAAACATTGCGTTTTCAAATAACTAAAATGTAATCATAATAGTTGATTTCCATTTTTTTGATTCACATTGCTGCAATCATGAGTGATTTGTTTTTAAAATGTTCAAATTTTGACAAAATGTATTAAATTGAAAAGTGTACTAATTATATATTAGTTAAAAGTCTTAAAACTTAAAAATGTATAAAACGTTCAAATTTTATACCTAAAGATTGAACTTATAAAACGAAGTTCCACGTAAATAGTTCATTCTGCAACCGAAACATCTAAAAAAAATATACAAACCCAGTTTTTTTGTATAGTTATCAAGCTATAAATTATAATATACTTATAAGTTATAACCTATACGTTATACATAGGTACCTATATTTTATCCATGTAGGACAGTACATAGTTGGATAGCTATGGTGTACCAATATGGCAATACTAACATTATAATTATTTTATATTAAATATATTATAAAATAAAACGGTATATTTATCATTCATGACATAAATAACTACTTCACTAGGTAAATTTGTAATTTTATCCACCTACTGATATTGTGAAAGGCAAACTGCAAATATTACTGTAAATATAAAGAAAATAAAGGACTTGAGTGTGTGAAACAACACGAATGATCTAATGATTCTATTTGCAATAAGTATAATATTAATCATATACCTACGGACATTTCTTGAAAACAATTTCCAATACCTACTCGCTTCAAGTTTATTGGGTTTGTATTTTGTACAAATTATAACTATTAACAGTGTATCAATGTTTATTGTAATATTTTGGTAATGTTGAATTATAAAGATATTTAATGAAGACTCAATAGATAGGTATAGTATGGTACGCGCTATTATTTAATATTGTAAATGTATAACTCGCTCATCATTTTGACAAACTAATGTTCATTAAATTAAAAAAATATTTCTACATGTATATAGTTTGATGGTCTCAGGGAATCAACTACTATTTACTTACAAATGTTTATAAAAAATATGTAGGTACCTACCTACTTAAATATTTTTCATGCTCTGTATAGGCAATATGAATATATAATTAGTGAGTGTTAAACAAGTATGCAACTAAGTGTAGACACCATGCCTATACGATGTGTCACTATTATTGTTTTTTTTATCGAAAAGTATATTTAACTTTAAATTCAACTACAAATTAAGTTTTTTATGTTATTATTGATTCATCGACACTCTTATTATTAATTTTTTTTATCTGTTATTTTTATTATCTATTTGTCTTACAAATATAATTTTTTCCAAAATGTTTAAAATTATTTGAAAATAGACAATAGTTGTATTGCTTAAGATACTACATGGTATTATAAGATATAATACAATACAAAAGTCAAAAATAAAAAACCCGTATTTTGACAACTCTAACCACACCGACCCCAAAACTTCCCCACCTTCAGTGTAACTAAGCTCAATCATATTATTCCCCGTTGTGCCTTTAACACGAATCCATTGCTTTTCACATACGAAGCGCTTTGTATTCTTGTTTTCTTTAATTATTGTCTGTTTCGTTGGTAATATTCACGTCGTTGACGCCGGTGTATCGTATGTTAAGTTGTCTATTGGCCTTAAAGTAAGGCGCTCTTATACAATCATTGCCTGAATCCGTGTTGAGTGCATGCTGCAAGTCTGGTTCCTTGCCCATCTCACCACATGCGTTTTATATCTTTTTATAAACTCATTTCAAGTTAACCTGTTAGTTCCATGAAACCATAATTTATTATACAGTAATTTTAGATTCTGATTAGAACAATGAATGCATTGATTTTAAACTGATGTGTGTTTTTGCTTCAATTCAATTAATTTAGTTGTTATATTAGTTGGGTTACAAGTTGAAAATTCCCAGTAATTTTCAAAAGCATCAAAAAAAAAAAATAAACATTTTTATAATGATGCTGTAATTCTAAAAATCTCTAAAAATAAACAATACAAATAATATACATTAATTATTAATATATATATATATATATATATATATTGTTTAACAAATGATAAATAAAAACAATTAATTGAAATATTATTTTTTTTATTTGTTTCAGCTAATTTATTTATTAACTTATTTATTTTATTCGTTTTTGATATTATAAATATTTTTACATATTTGACAGTTTTTAGTTAAAAACAAGTTAAGAAGTCTTACTCTGGGATTGAGTTAAATTCCCAGTATCTAAATTCTAAACATATTTTAACAAGGTACAGTAACTACAAACAATAAATAAATACATATTAATATCAACAATCGTAACTGATGTGCTCATAACTACAGACAGACAGAAATAACGGGAATAATATATGGTGTTATAAACATATTATGTTTCGAAACCTAAAATCCAACTTAACTTATATTTCAGTGTTGTCATATCTTAAAATTATTGATAATTATGATGATTTTAATATTATAATTAGGTATTATATTAACTTAATTAATGAGTAAAAACAATTTTTAATTATAGGTTCAGTCTTATAGTATACACTAGACAGTTATAGAGGTCTACCAAAAATCAGAAACAGGGATGGAACAAACGAGAACATTTTTGGAAAAATGAAGAACAAGGAAAATCTCTGGGTTTGATTCCAAAAATTGAAAGTGGGGTGCCAGACAAATGTACTTAAACGGCCGGTCATTCAAATAACTCAGATTCAGTACAGGGCAAATGGTTTGATACTACGTAAATATTTACTGTATAAGGAATTAAAGACTATTGTACAAACAGTTTAATAATTTGATTCATTTTTAATTTGAATGAATCTATATTTAAAAAAAAAAATGTTGCAGTTAACAATTTACAGTAAAAAGTAACGTTGTTTGTAATAGAAAAAGGAAGTTTGTGTGCCATAGCGCACACCTGAAATGGTATAAATCTATTGAAGTCTAGGTATTTTAAAATATGGTCCTTTATTCGTATCCTTCATCATTTCTGAAACCAGAATTTTAATAAATGTATATTGCATATTTCAAGGGTACACTGAAATCAACGCTCAAACGCGATTTCCATAACTCACTTAGGTATGTACTGCGCAGCTCTACTGTAACATTGACCACTCACCACTACCTACCAATAAAGGCTATTGCCTATAGTATAAATACCATGGAATACAACAACAGGACATAGTTCCTATTATATAAATATGTAATTAATATTATATTCTAACATATTATTATACAACGACTTGTCGTTTATGTACCTGGTATCAGTTTTCAGAAGTTATGTACTTATAAATAATTTATTTGAAAATGGGAAATACCATATTTTTTAAAGTTATATTAATTACCATTGCATTAATCATTTTATGCATTTACAACACATCATCACAACGAGTGGTAAAAAATCTTGGATTAAATGAAGGTACGTCGATTTACTTTATACATATTGATAAATGTACAACATTTGTATATCAGTTCCAACATATCAAATGAAACTAACGATACTAATCACACATTTCTTATGGCATCAACTGCATGGTTATCAATTGTTATTTTCGGAGCAGAACGTTTGGGCACAAAACATTTTATGATTTTACCTGGTAAATCGGAGAACGTTTGGGTGCACATATATAAGACACGTTTAGGTATGCATCATAATCTATATCCGTAATATACAATAGTGGTAGTATTTTCAGTTTTATACAAGCAAATTGTTTTAGTATAATCAATTCCTTGATTAAATTCAAAAGGATACTTTTTTAAAGATATCTACTATTAGGATAAAATGTTAAAAATATTATATTAAAAGAGGATTCAGATAATGTAGAATATATTTAAAAACATTGTAATGAGCTTAAAGTTAAGAACAAAATAAATCTAGATAAATAAATAAAAAAAAATTTTAATAGATTTAATATTTCTGTCATGAATTATGAATTATGAATTTCTAAAATAATATAGCAATGTGTAATAACAAAAATATTTTTAAGTTTAAAAAAAATGATTAGGGGATTTTTTGTTTGTCTCTTGAGTAACATTAGGTTAACGGCTCTTAAAATAAAAATAAAAAAACCTGTAATTAAAAATTGTTACAAAAATGTGGTATTATTTTTAAAATATTATGTGCCGAAACGTTATATTCATTTTTGGTCTTTAGGAAATATCAACCCAAAATGTGTGTTCCCAATCGTTCTCCCAAATACTAGATACAAATATAGTTTTGTGCTCAAACTTGTTAAGGCCATTTTTTAGTGTGGAGGAGGGTACGGTTGGCTCAGAACACGTGTTTATGTGAAACGGCACAAGGATCTGTCACTAAGAACCCGGATGGTCACCCGAACTATATTTGCACCGACTGGTTCTAGCACTCAGAACACGTTTGTGACTGAAACCAAACACCACGCCACACCAAATCACATATTTATTCATTTTTAGATAATATTTGAGAACTGTAAATAATATTTTGAATTAAATAATTATATCGATTACATTAACAAATCTTTAATATTATATTATATGTACATGAATAATTCATTAGAGTAGGTGCTTCATTTGAGGTATGAAAGGCTTGAGTGCCTAAAACTCTGTATTATAAATTTTAGCTCTCTAAGAATAGTCGAATTTTAGATTTAAGGCATTGTTTCAATAGTTAAGAGTTAAAAATAAATAAATGAATTAATTCGTGAATGCAAGAATGGCTTCTTGAATAATTAATACCATTAAAACTCCCCCCTCCTCATCAAGGGTAACTTAAATCAAAGTGTCGTCTAACCTCCTATTAATTTTGTAAATTAGCCATAAATAAGCTAAAATATCTTTTTTTTTTTAGTGGCCTGCTCAATATTTTGAGTATAAACCAAAAACAAATTTAAATTACGCCTCTGCAACCATCTCAAAGTAATTGAAGTCTTAAGATCCAACTGTTAATACATACTGTAAATAACTTTTATTTTAAATACTGTGCATCAAATAGTATAGTAAATAGTACAAGCTATTTTAATTAAAATAAGTCCTAAATACATTTTTAGTTAAAAATAATAACATTTAAAAAGCACTATTTTTACATATTTTGTATACTGAATTGTCTGGATTACAAGCAGTATGTTGAATAATTTTATGAAACTCTGAAAATGTTTAAAACAATAACCAGATTTGAATAGAACTCGCTGACCTTAATTATTTCAAAGAGTATTTTACCCGTAGCTAATACTGTACCTACTATATTCAAAATAACTGCGATTTTAATTTTTTTTTACTGTTTTCAAAATATCTGAGATCGTTGTATAGTGACATTGAAATATTTTAGAACTTGATATATATAGTGATCAATATTCAAATTATTTACAGACTAATAAGTAATGATTATGGTAGGTAGTGCTATTATAATACACATAATACTAAAGTAGAATAATTAAATTGCATGGCATAAAAATATGAAAATAAATTGAAGATTCTAAGCCAAGCAATGCACATTTTGGTCTTACAATAATGTGCAGTTTTTTTTGTTATTATTACTTATTAAAATTATTTATTAATTAATTATTATTATTACCATTTATAATATAAACGAATATTCCAATTCCGATTGCCGAATCAAAATACTTGTATGAACACATCTTTAAAATGCAAATTTTTAAAATTCCTTTCTTATTAGACAACTAGAGCATCAAAAAAACTACAATACAAAATGTCAAGTTCATACAATTTGTAATTTTGTGAAAAAGTAAGCGTTAAAACTAGAGTTTTAATATTTTATTTTATTACTGGAAATATAGTGTCATTGTTGTATTCTTATTTTCATAATTTCTATTTAATTAATAATTTTTACTACTACTATATACTATTTTACACCTTTAGAGGTTGAATTTTAAATTTTCCTAAGTCTTTTCTTATCAAACGCTTACCTCATACAATACTAATATCTGTATGCTAAATTTAAGCCCGACCTATGAAGTGGTTTGAGCTGTGCTTTGATAGATCAATCAGTTAGTCAAGTTTTCTTATTATATGACCTATAATAGAATAGCCACACAACGTTGTCATAGAAAAACCACATTAGTACATAATTATAATTTTTCCTGCAATCGAAACCAAAAACATTTTATGTTCAAGTAACATACCTCTTGTATCAAGTATAAACAAGTATATACATTGTCACTTGAAAATAATTGAAAACACATATATTGTACATAATTAATAATTAACATTGAATTTCAAAAAGACATTAATTAGTTAATTAATTTATTGTTAATTTAAACGGGCTAAAGCCCAATTTAAGTTATAAATATGCGTGTAGTAATAATAAGGTGAATTTAAGAAACAGTAGAATTGAATAACAAGGGAAAAATAATAGTGCATTATTAATGAATATAATAAAAACATAAATCACTGATAATATCTAATAATAATAACATTCTACATTGGTGTATAAATACTGTAATACAGTAATAAAAGCCAACAATCAATAAAATAAAAACCACATGATAATCATCAAAGTGAATATCGCTCAAGCAGATAATAATAATTTCAATTGCCTAAACGAACTATTAATTTCAAATTTGTTAGTCAAAATTATGACACTTGCTCAAATAACGACTGCCCTAATATTTTGGAATTATATATTTATATGTACCTTTCAAAATAATTTTTAAAATGTAGACTTATATAGTAATATACGTATTAAAAATAAAAATTCATAAAAATGCATAAAATAAAATAAGAAAACTGCACATAGGTAGCCACTTAAATACCTCAATTGCAATATCTACAAAATTGTTTGAATTGAAAAATGAGTTATGTTTTGTAATTCATTATTTCGGCTGTAAGGAAAAGATAGAAAATTATTGATTTATATCTTATATTTTTAGCTCAAATGTAACGTATATTTATTTTAGGTGAGATATGTCGAAAATCCCTCAAACCAGATCAAAAGTATGTGTGTATGGCTACAAGACACTGCAACGCTTTTAAAGAAAGCGTTAGAACTCGTAATTATCTTGATATATGTAAGTTCGTTGGCTTACAACCGATAGTTTGCTGTCCAGTAACGGCTAATGAACTACTAAAAACTAAAAATGCAGAAAGATCAATATCTGCTGATGAAAGTATGAACAACATGTATTACCAAATTGTTATTATATATTTATGTAACGTACTTATAAGTTGTAATACATAAATACTCAAAATCAATTAGAAATTATTACTTACAATATTATTCGATTTGTATCTCATGTGCAGTTCATGCTAAGTATAATAGTTCCTGATTGGAACGGTAATTAATGTAAAGGTATAACAAGTTTTTTTTCTCGTTGAGATTTTTATCATCCTTTGTAACAATACAATTATTTTGATCTTCAACTTTGATGATGGTTCTGGTTTCTGGTAACAAATTGTGGTTGATTGGTAAGCTAAAGCTCACTTGAAGGAGTAAAAATGACCGGCAGGTAATTTTAAAAATATTCGAGAAATACAAAAAAAATAAGCATCTTTGATTTTTTTTTTTTGAAGGTCGATAAAAAAAAATTTAATACAAGGTTCTCATAAGTTGTTATTATAGATATTTATATTTTATTTTATAAATATTAAAGATACGTAAGCACGATTTTTTTTTACAAGCATTTAAATTTCAAATTTTGACCAAATGAACATTTGCCAATTATATTGTAGAATTGAAAATTTGATACAAAGTTCCTCATAAATAATTATTACTGAAACCAAAAATCTGAAAAAAAAAATTAAAGCAAAGTTATTTTTATGGACTTTTGAATTTTGAAGAATAACTATTTTATTTCTAACTGGTTTTGGTTATTACCTGTTATTTACACAGTTACACCTAATTACGTACACCTATCGAAATAAATGTTATCAATTAAATAATTTTGCAGAATGTTATCAGTTTTCCAAATTACTGAAAAATAAATATAGGCCTTCATTAGTGGGTGGTAAGCCGTCTAAAAAAGAAGAGTTTCTACCCACGATAATATTGAACCGTAAACGTCGAGCTCTAAAACCTCAGCCTTATTCGGTGGGTGGTACAGCGGCTAAAATTCAAGAGTTTCCACACATGGTAATATTTAATTATAAATATATTCAAAGTCAAGATAGGTAAAGAATAGTATTAATTATCGTTGTAAATATAAAACTATAGGCGCTAATTGGTTATGGTGCCACTACGACAAATGGAGACGATTGGAAATGCGGTGGTTCACTGATAAGCAAAAAGTGGATATTGACTGCTGCTCACTGCCAAGAAAGCTCTGGGTGAAACATATGATAATACAAATCAAATACTACTTAATTACCTTACTTAAAATCAATAGTGTGCGATGTCTGTTATTAATATCATGGCAATATATAATACCTTTTAATACTAAGGAATAAAGCTCGTTGGGCTCGCCTTGGAGTTTTGGAAAGAGTCGTTAATGAAAGCAACGCAGATCGACCAAAAGACTATCAAATAGCGGAACATGTAATACATCCCGATTACAATCCACCTTCGCTGTACAACGATATTGCCTTATTCCGTTTGGAGAGAAACGTCGTATTTTCCGAAAAAGTGCGACCGATTTGTCTTAACACTGATCCGTCTTTAACACCGTTAAAGCAAATAGCTACTGGTTGGGGACGAACTTCAACGGGTTGGTTTAAATGATGATCTAAAGTTTAAAAAGAAAACATTAGCCACCACCGCAGTAGGTCAAAAGTTACAACTTTTTCTTTTCGTTGCAATTTTCTAGCTGGACCACTTAGTGACAATTTATTAAAAGTGGATTTGGATATTTTCTCGACAAAACACTGCAACGAAAGTTATTATAATGATCCAAAATTAAGATTTGGAATATTACCTGACAGCATGATATGTGCGGGTTCGTTTGACGGCACAAAAGACAGTTGCATGGTACAGACTTCGAATGTAGTTGTAATACTTTGTATTTTACTATTTAATTGAATAATATCAAATTTACTATAGGGTGATTCAGGAGGTCCACTTCAATTGGAACATGTCAACTACACGGGCATGTATACACAATACGGGATTACATCTTTTGGAAAATTTTGTGCCGACAAGGATACACCCGGAATTTATACTAGAGTAGCCAATTATATTCCATGGATCGAGAAAATTGTATTTTTAAATAACTGAAGACGTATAATAAAGTTTAGGGAGTAAAAGAAAAAATTGATTTTTCTTTTTTACATTGTGTAACATTCATATATCATACATTCTATTCCACATTGTTCATTTAAATGATTGCCGTAGGTTACATATTACATAACTTAATATAAATACATTATTTACTCGTAATTTATCCGTCGGTTGAAACCTTATATTATTAAATGGCCGTTATTTAACGACGATTAGTATTTACTATTTAGTAATTACTCATTTAACATTTTTCGTTGGTGTGTGGAGTGTGCACGTTGGACGTTATTGCTTATTTCAGCATGTTAAGTAAAACTTGTATTTTTTTTTTTTGAAGTTAATAATAAGTTCGTAGATGAATTGTTTGTAATGATTCCAAACGTCCATATTTATTTGTATTTACTAATATTATTCATAGCAAGAGCCAGTGTTGGATAGTAACTTAACGTGTGTTACTCGTTACTGTAACGAAGTTATATTTTTCAGTAACGTTATGGTAACTTTGTTACTATTATTTTTAGGTAACGCAAGAGTAACTACGTTAATTATTGAGAAGTAACTTAGCAGAGAACGCGTTACATTATAAATTTAACTTTTTTTTTGGAAGTGGGATATGTCGTGGTGCAACTTCACAGAGCAGTCCTCCCCCTCGAATCCGTATATCAGAAAATGTAATTATACCAATAATTTAAGTAGTATGTAATTACAACATTTTTCCAGTATAATCTAATATAATTATATAAATAAACGATTTTGTGTTGGTATTATTTTCAATTTAACTGATTATTAACATCTGTTACAGTCTATACAAGCAGCAACTCTTATAGTTTATTAGCTTATTCATTTTTAGATCACCTGATAAAATATGTACATCGACATACTTACAGACAGTCGTAAGGATTACCGCTTATAACTATTGGTAATGCTCAAAAGGTTTTGAATAAAATTGTATCACAGATGCCCCTATTCAACGAAAATTAGATTTTATTTATGAATACTTACTTTGCACACGTTATTGAATGTCATAACTCATAAAGAATAAATATAACCACGTAATTATTATTTTAGATTTTCTTATGACTTACACTTAGTCGTCTACAAAAAATATAAATGGTTTGACAAGAGTTTATTGAAATAAACTGTTTTAGTTCATATTTTAATATACCACAATACAATTCCCCTCGGCACCTATGTAATATTGTGTACCTTTATTGATTGTTGTTATTTTCAAAAATAATTTTTGTACTGTTGTCAACTATTATTATGATACGCACATTTAAACATTTTTGGAATATTATCTGTGTGTGTATGTTAGTTTTTTACGATAGTTCAATTTACTATATTATTTAAATTTAATTTCAGTTGGTTATACATTACAGGGTACATATTATTTTTTAATTAAAAAAAAACGAAGTTCTATGAAAATAAAATTAAACATTTAAAAATTGATCATGTTGCTGGTAACATTTGATGAATTAGTGTCAGTATAAATTGATTATCAATAATAATTAGTAGAAAAAAAATCATTTGTGTTACAGTTCCAATAATAATGATGCTGCTATATTATTTTGTTGTTCCTGTGTTGGAACTTCTAAATTTGTTTTTATAGTTCTTTTTTTTTTATTTGAGAAAAAACGAGGTTGAGGTGTGATTTAAAATTTATTTTAAGACTGTTGAGATGACAATTTTGTAATGGTTGTTTATAAGAATCATTTTAAGTGTTAATTCTAAAGTGGGTATAGTAGTTGCAAAACATTTTTTCGAAACATTAAGTTCTTCCAAATTTGAAATTCCGTCAAACACTTTTTCAAAATGTAATTTAAATGTATCTTTTTCAGTTTGGAATGTAGATTGGTTTGATATTTTTGAGTTATTTAGTTGTGATATAATAATAGATATTTCATTTCCTTTACTGACGTCAGTACAGTACATTTTTTAACAGTCCAAAAATTAACTAGATAAGCTACATGTTTAAATTATAGTCAATAGATTCGGAATTCTAAGTTTTATTTTGCATATTATTGCAAATTTTGTAATTTTTTGATGTGTACTGCATATACATATTTGTATTTGATGAATATCGAAATGTTCCATACCCATGCGGCTTACTATCGTACGTTGGTTTTTATTTATATTTTATTCGATGTTTACAAACATTCTCGATTTTGTTTCAAATCAAGATATATGGACAAAAATTGTGTAAAAAAAAGAATATAATACAACTATTATAAGTTATAACTATAGGTAAGTACACGTATTTCCACTACTCTTAATTTAATTATTAATTAAAATGCACCTTTCTTTGCAAATGTTTGCATATTTAAGTTCATATTTGGATGATAATTGGTGCATAAATGCATGTATATTTCGTACGTTTTTAGTATATTTATTCAATGCTATGTAAGAAACTAAAAACCATAGTATAAGGAATAATAAAACTATACTATGCTAAAAATGACATGTCATTTAAAATTGTTTTTAATAAAAGTGATGACTGATAAAACAATCTGTGATAGCTGATAATGATAACAAAGTCAGCCATCTTTAGCTGTTCTGATTCTATGTCTCTAGACGCTTGTATAACTTGGTGTCTCATTACAAGTAGCCACCTAAAAAATAATAAAATCACAAAATTCGTGAAATGATATAGATATAAATAAAAAAATTCAAAAGTGTTAATATTGTCAATAACTTAGAGGCTGGGAATTCCCCTTGAAGATCTGAGTAACATAAACGGAACTTGAAAAACGATTTTCCATCCCTCTCCTAGTAAAAACTGACATTTTTGAAATTTTTTAAACCGTGCTTCACGGCCTTCATGGTACTTGATATAAGTCAGATAAATAGTGAATTAGCATAGATATTACCAAAAATAAAAATTGTAATTTGAAAAAAATTGGTTGAATAATACGGAATATAATATAAGCAATAAATTAAAAAAATTTTGAGGCAAAAAGAATTGTGCTCAACCGTTTTTCGTTATTAAACTATTCATTAGTATTCAGATTTCTTTCATACTATTGATAGCGTATGCCACGCCCTCCTGGAGGACCGTGTTCAAGGCTACAATCGCCCGATTCGGCCAAGTACGGAGTGTCGTAGGCCTGGTTTAGCAGTGCCAGAGACCGTATTACCTGTATTACTGAATATACATATTGATTTAATTTACTTAAAATCATGATAACAAGTTGTCCGCATTAAGAAAAAGGTATAATATATATTATCATAAATACTATGTTGATTATATTTCTTTAACATAAAAATAACATACAAGGATCAAGAGCACACTGGATAATACTAATAAGCATATTTATACAAATATAAAAAAAATTGAGACAGGTTAAACGGTTTTAGTTTTCAGTCTAGGATATGAGTAATAAAATAAAACCACCAAAATTGAATTCGGAAAATAAATAGCATGATAACACTATATTTTTCCAAAAAACGAAACAAAATTTTTTGTGGAGGTCAAGATTGCACGTGAAACTACGATTGAGGTTATATCTGTAAGGATATAACATGTTAGTAGTACCCTTTAAGGAGTTTCGTTTTAGTGCAGATCGTTTTATGCACTTAAGGTTAAGAGTGAGATAATTGTTAGCGGCCAGTGCCGTGATTTAAATATTAACCACTGATGTACGAATTCTGGCAACTAAGTAGGACATCAGGCCTCCTACTGATTCACGGCACAGTGCACACACCATCATACAACTACCCCGCCAGACGATCATTCAGTCTTTGAATTACCAGGATACCATGAATAGATACTGGGTTCACCATACGGCGATTTTGGTAGTTCCACGCACCAGACCTCCAACCATTTGTATCGGTCGATCAAATATATATATTAACCTTCGAGTGCCGACCGTTATCTTGTTAGAGGGGTTGAGTACCCTTCTGTCTATAGCCTGAATCTAAATTCAAGCCTGAACGCCAGGTAGCGCTGCAGTATGGAAAATGTGAAATAGCAAAAAAAAAAATTAATTTCGATTAGTCTAATAATAATATGAAATATAGTAAAAATATCATTCTGGTGTAGTAGACTTGTAAAATGTAAATCAACGATTCTTATATATTTTTTTTGACGACGGACCCTTATTTAGATCCATATGTATTATATTATAATTATTATCGATCGGGTAACTTGAATGACAATATTTTATTGTTGGTATTTCGTAGAAATTATCGGGATAGCATGCATTTATGGAAAATTCGAGTTCGAGAAAAACTGTTTTTTATGTTTATTTAAGTCTGCGGCTCAAACTATCCACTCTTTGTTTACATTTTAAATTAAATGGCTTTCCGGATTAAGTGAAGTCCAGTCTTACAGGGTCTGGGTTAATGATGTTCTACTTAATAAATATTTGAGTCATGCAACCAACCCAGAAGGAACCAATTCTATCCCTACAGCAACACGAAACAGTATAAATAGTATTTTGAACGTACATTGATTCAAACTGGTGAAAAGAAGTGGCGTTTTTCAGTTGTTGTGTTAAGAAATGTCCAGCTTTTATTCAAATATTAGAACCTCCAATAAAAATATCAACAAGTGATGAAGATCATAAACACGAATCTTGCAGTGGACAAATGATGCAGCGTCAATAGCTATCTGCATCCGTAAAAATAAAAGCAACTGAAAATCTTCACGGTAAACCAAGTAGAGTAGTAATTTAATGTTTAAATAACCAGTCAAAAAGTAAATTAGAAAAAATTGATTTAAAATATGTTAAAAGGAACTCACACAATACACACAGTAATATTTCACTTCCTTTACCAACAAATATGAAGTCTGTCCACGATGCTATTGAGCAACGGATACAAATATTAAAAATTATAATAATTTATTAAAAGAAAGTAAGGTTGGAATTAAAATAAAAATAATTTAATTAATTAATCTTTACATAGCTGTGAAGCCAAAATATTTGTTTAAATTATAAGTTGTTATTAGTAGATAAGATATTAAATGTAAGTATTCATTCTTCGTCTTAAAATGCAATAACATGCCTCATTCTTCTAAAATGGTTAAAAACAAAAAGTTAAAAAAATTATGAACTTGTAAATTAAGCACCTACCTAGTACCTACCTGTTTTATTGTATTTATCTTACTCTATGTCGTAATAATATATAGAATAGAATATCTAAATGCTTTTATAATAATGCTTACCTATATTCTGTTAGACCAGGGGTGTCCAACCTTTTGTGAAGACTGGGCTACATCATGTAGGACCTATATGATGTGGCCCAGTCTTCACAAAAGTTTGGACACCCCTGACATAGGTAGAAGTTGTTTTGGGCCAC